ACAAACCTCTATAAGATCCACAACGCAGACTCTGTTGATGCGTACGGACATACAACAATCTCCCAGATTCCACCATCGTATACCCATCGACTAAAAATTGTTGGAACAATCTTTTCGCAAACAAAAATGTTGAAATCTCACCACATCGTTCATGAATACGAAATGATAGGTATTCACGAAGAGAAATACTATGCCTTCTTCCTGTATGAATATTTTGTTCAACATTAAAAGGAATATCTTCTCTATAACCATCTTCACCATATGGAAACAGAATTGGATACTGAAGAGGGAGATATGCTGGATTAAGCTCACTAATTCTTTTTAGCACACCTGATCTTGTCTCTATCAATATATCTCGCTGACCCAACGTGGGATCCAGATCACCAACAATTATAGCTGCAACCTCAGACACTGTTGGCAAATTATATGTTTTGGCATCTTGGCTACGCTTCCCTATCAATTTCATCCTAACTTCCATAGTCGGATTGGTAACTATTGCATCGCGAGCCATCCGAAATGATTTTACCAGAACATTATTTTCATCCAATGTTAATTGAAGTTCAGAAACAATATCTTCATCTAGTTTGTTGAGATCATTATTACCCCTAAAATTCAAAAGATATTGATATCACTTGATAATTATGTATGTATAATTAAAAGAAATAATATTCATTAATAAGACATAATATACCTGACAGAGTTCAATCGATTACACATCTCATTTTCAGGGTCATGAATGTATAATTGTGCAAATTTAGGTCGATTTCCTTCAATAGGTAACAAACTACCCAATAAATGAAAATTTTGTCCATTCAACCTAAAAATTGGAGGTGCCCTCCCTGTATTCACTTCTTTGTCAATACGACCTCCCAGAGATGTGAAGCTAAACATGTTATTATACGATCTTATATGCTGCAAAAAATGCTTGCTTCGTGCACACGGTTTGAAAAATAAGTCAAGAATTGTTTTTGGTGGAACATTTAACATCGGCAACTTAATTTTTCCATTAGAGCAACAAACTGAAAATCTTGGGCCACCATCCACTTTTACCTTCTTCAATCTCTCTTCCAACCAAAAAAATGCACTACAATGAGTACACTTAAAAACCGGATCTCCAAGGTCAATATACAACTCTACAATAGAATAAATCAATTAATAAATAATTAAGATATACAAATCAACAGAATAATGAACAAAAAAAAAAAACCAAATAAGCACCTAATAATATAATATTGATTAGACCCATTAAAAGAATAAATATTTTAAACTAATTTAACTAAATTATTAAATTCATTTATTTTAAAATCTCTGACACACACACACATATACACACAGACACACACACGTATAAATAAATAAATAAATAAATAAATATATATATATATATATATATATATATATATATATATATATATATATATATATATATAAGTATATAAATGAACAATATATATTAACAAACTTAAAGCTCAATAGAAACAAATTTAAACAATAAATTACTTTGCATAATTATTAATTTAAATTTGACTCTATTAAATTTATGACCCATAAATGTTAAAATTATATATGATATATCTTGTATATAATTTAAATTTAATCTTTAAAATTTTGACATCAGACTTCCAGAATATAAATTTCACAAAATTAGTAGATATTAACATATATGGTCACAATATTTTAATCATAACATTTGTGGATATAATAAACTAAGTGTTAAATTAAATTCGTTTAATTATCATTCTAATACTTAGTTTTTTACTATTTATTACAGATACATATGATTACAGTAATATAAAAAATATGTACGGAAAGCTTTAAAAAATTTTGATTTTAAAATTCAATAAAATACACAAAATCATATATACATATTCAATAAAAAGAACACGCAGAAATAAATATATTTAATTTGCAACAACATAATGTTGACATCAACACATTACAAATAAATCTAAATTTAATTGCACAATAACACCATTTAAATACACCAAGAAAAAGTCATGGCTAAATATATTTAAATAAGCTTGTCCATTGGTATTATTGTATTTATTAAAAAGTCCAACAATTATAACAGTCATTAATAAATAATTTTAAATAAAAAAATTAAAATGGAAAGTAGATGGTAAGCGTTCACCATTCACCTCCGTCTTCCCTTCTCTCTATCGCACCTCTCATTCTAGAAACTCCAGTTCAGACCTAACACCCCATCACCATTATCAACCAAGCTTTCCGTCTCCCACCATTGAATCCTTACCGTCGGCCAGAACCCACCGACTAAAGGGCCCAAACATTGAATCCAATATAACACATACATATGATTACATTAATATAAATAATTTTAGACGGAAAGCTTTAAAAAATTTGATTTTAGAATTCAATAAAATACACAAAATCATATATACAAATTCAATCAAAAACACACACATCAATTTATTACAAATATTAAATAAGAAATACATTTCAATATAATAACAAAATTTCAAATACAATATATTCAATTAACAACAACACTAAACATAATTTTGTCATGTACACATTAAAAATAAATCAAAATGTAATTTCACACTAACACCATTTAAATTTAAATATACTTAAATATACTAAGAAAAGGTCATTGCTAAATTCATTTCTCAGATTAAAATGAAGTCCAAAAACTAATACAAAGCCCAACGAATTATTATTATTTAAAAAAAAAAAAAAACAAATAGCTTAGATCTGGAAGACCATTCGACGTTGTCTGCTTCTTTCTTCCCCCTTCTCTCTACCACAAACTCTCATTCTAGAAACTCCAGTTCCAGATCTAACTCCTCATCACCATTATCAACAAAGCTTTCCTTCTTCACCATAAAATCGTTATGGTCGACGATAACCCAGCGATTAAATGGCCAAAAAACTTAACATCTATTACTCTAGTTTCAGATGTAAACTTACAGTGTACAACATAGGCCAAGCTTCGCGATCTGTGTTCCCCTACTCTCATCTTCTACAATACTACCTTCCATAAACACGAAATTTCAGCCTTTAAACTACTCAGTTGAAAATTCAGACCAGATTTACAAAAAACAAAAACCCTAATCTACAAGCCGTCGACTTCTCCTATACTAAACACCAAAGGCGAAATTCATACCACACAAAGCAAGAAGCAGCACCGATCTACCATAGATCTACAATATCCGTATGATAAAACGCACTTTTAACAACTTTCTACTTTTTTTTTCATACTTTATTTAATATCTACGAAAACCTAGCTTCAAATATCAGCCATTTAGTATACATGCATAATTTTTAAACATGAAGAAATTAAAAATGTCTGAAAAACTGTTTGATTCGCAAAAATAGTAATTACGCCCATGTTCTTAATACTTTTTTTTTAATGTACATTGAAATAAACTTTGTTTTTAATAAACATGCTATGAAGCAGCACTTCATAAATAAATATATCTGAACACATTTGTAAAAAATTCCAAGAATTCATAGCCAAGAGGAATTTGGTTTATGGTTTCTTTAATTACTTAACTTTCACTGGTATGACTAATATGGGCTTTGTATTATTTGTTTACAGTGATGTAGCCATTTGATTGGTCAATAATCCATAGCACTGGACTTCCAAATTGTGGATACTCACAGAACATTCAAACACACACGGCCAACACTCTGTTCAAATGGTAATATTTCCCTTAATTGCTTTTAGTATTTAATATATATATATATATATATATATATATATATATATATATATATATATATATATATTAAATCTTATGGCAATTTATATTGCAGATAGGAACATAAAGGTAGAAAAGTTGAAGCAAAGTTTTCAAAGTTCTTAAGTATTTATTTGCTAAAATTACAGTGAAGGAAAACAGGTATGATAAAATATTACCTTTATTTTCTTCCTGCAATTTTCTTTTTCCACATATGGTAGTTGAGCCTTTCAACTTTTTCATTATTCTTCCAATTGTTTGTTGCAGACCTGCAAAATTTTGGTAGGGAATGAATTTAATGCATGTATTTGGTTGTTTAAATGCTATGTATATATAGTTAGGGAGTTAGAGAGATGAAAAGAAGTCACTATCAACAAATAGTCACATTAGTCAAACCTTACCATCAACAATTAATGCTTGATAGAAGCTATAGGTGTATTTAAAAAGAATTTGTACCTGTATTGAGTACTGTGCAACTTGAATTTGACTGCAAAATTTTCATGTGTTTGTTTGTTTGTTTTATTTTATTATTATTATTATTATTATTATTATTTTTTAATATTATGAGACAGTTTTCATTTATTTTACCCATTACTAATACTTTAAAATAGAGGCAAATGATGAAAAAAGAATCTGATGCCATTGTTTTATAAAGACAACAATTAAATTCTTTTATACTACTACTTAATATATTTTAGGTAATTTTATGAGGAATTTGCAGTCAAAATTATTCCAAAGTTCATTTATTAAATATATATGATTATGATTATAAATATAATTTCTGATATTTATTTTGGAAGGACATTAGTTTTTTTCTAAATGTACACTAAATTATGTGAAGCATTTAATGTAACTGCAAATTTAAATTTTCTTAAATCAACACTAAGACGCATTAGTTGTTAATTTATTTTTAAATTTACAACTATTTCATGATATTCAGAATTTGGAATTAAACTTTTTTTTTTTTTTTGGAAACTGGAATTAAACTTTTTTATTTCTAGACAAATCTTAAAAGCATTTTTTTACAATCTACCCCTACTAACAATTTCAAATTAAACATTGAACTTGATACGAAAATATAATTTTCCACACCTTTTTTTTTTTTTTCTTTATAGACCTCTTTTTAAAAAATATTACAATTCTTTTTCCCTTTTCAAATACGTGTACTTGTATACTTTGATGCATAGCTCCATTATGTGTTTGGATTATGTATTTGGATGCTTTTCCCTGTATATGTTAACTGGAATTATTAGCTTCTAATCATAAGTAGATAATTTCACAGTAGAAAACTAAGTAGATTACAAAGACATTACTGGCTGCTACTAAGGATAAGTACATTAGGTACTCTTGCTAATACAGCTTCCAAAAAATCAATCACAAAATAGGAAAATAGACCATTTCTACTTTCTAGGAGTACATTGCACCATAAGCAATTTTCTAGCCTTAAACACCAAAAACCACTACAAAAAAACAACAACCAGTAAACACTTATTAGTACTACATCCCATTTAAAAACGTAGAATAACCTATTACTTTTCTTCCTTAACCACCACTTCCTTAGCCTTCTTTGATGTCACAACAACCACAAAGTCTTTAAATAGAGACCTCTTAAGAGGCAAAACAGAACCACTAACACCTAAATCATCTTTAGTGTCATCTAAGCCACGAAACTTGTCCACCTTGACACCTTGAGAACCACCATCCACCTCAACACATTCTTCATCATCAGTACCATAGCATTCCTGAAGGAAATAACATTAGAGCCAATAAGTAAGACCATAGTTGCAAAATTAACCAAACAATGATAGACAAATATACCTCACTACCTCAGAACCGACATCACCATCTTCATCCTCATCCAGAAAACCACACCTACATCACCTGAACCAATGGCTGGTTGTAAAATGCCAGTCGACAGACTCAAGAGTACTGTGTAAGAGCTGCTTCATCCCTGTAAATCCTAAGGACTGTGAATGCAGAATAGTAACTCTCAACCTGCTCTTTCTTCATAGCAATACGAAACAGCAATGACATGCCACTCAAACACCCTAACTCAGTTGGAATACATCCATTCCCCTACAAAGATTTAAAAACAGAAAACACATGTGCATTTAAATTAGTGAATTCACCATTTAGGCACATAGGTATGTTACATAGAAATACCTACCACTGCATACTTAGCCTTTAATTCACCAACTGACAAACCAACCAATTCCGCACATTCACGATCCCACATAAGCATAGGAGCATCCCAGTATAATCAGCAGCAAGAAAAATGGAATTATATATTTCTGGATTCTAGACAAATGGAATTAATGCTAGACAAATTTTAAAAGTTTTTTTTTTTGTTTTTTTTTTTAATCTACTCCTAACAATTTGAAATTAAACATTAAATTTTATACGAAAAAAGAGTATTTGATACTTTTTTCCCAATTACTTGTGAACAACTATATGTATATATAATTTTCCAATATTGTTTTTTTCTTTATAGAGTTCTTTTTAAAAAAACATTACAATTCTTCTTCCCTTTCCAGATTCGATTACTTGTATACTTTGATGCAAAGCTCCATTATGTGTTTGGATTATTTATTTGAATACTTCTCACTGTATAAGTTAACTGCAATGATTCGCTTCTAATCATAAGTAGGTAATTTTATATTAGAAAACTAAGTAGATTACAAAGACCTTACTGGCTGCTACTAAGGATAAGTACATTAGGTACTCTTGCTAATACAACTTCCAAAAGAGCAATCACAAAATAGGAAAATAGACTATATCTATTTTCTAAGAGTACATTGTAGCTTAAGCAGTTTTCTAGCCTTAAACACCAAAAAGGAATAGCAAAAAACAGCAGCCAGTCAACACTTAGTCCTTCAACATTACATTTAAAAAGATAGAATAACCTATTACTTTTCTTCCTTAACCACCACTTCCTTACCCTTCTTTGAAGCCCCAACATCCACAAAGTCTTTAAATAAAGACCTCTTAAGAGGCAAAACAGCACCACTAACACCTACACCAGGTTCAATGGCATCTAAGCCACGAAACTTGTCCACCTTGACACCTTGAGAACCACCATCCACCTCAACACATTCTTCATTATCAGTACCAAAGCTTTCCTGTAGGAAATAACATTAGAGCCAATGAATAAGACCATATTGGCAAAGTTAACCAAATAATGATAGAAGAATATACCTCAGAACTGACATCACCATCCTCATCCTCATCCAGAAAACCACCTACATCACACGGACCAATGGTTGGTTGTGAAATGCCAGCTGATAGACTCGAGCAGTACTGTGTAAGAGATGTTTCATCCTTGCAAATCCTAAGTACTGTGAATGCGGAATAGTAACTCTCAACCTGCTCTTTCTTCATAGCAATCCGAAACAACATTGACATGCCACGCAAACACCCTAACTCAGATGGAATACAGCCATTCCCCTATAAAGTTTTAAAAACAGAAAACACATGCACAACCTATTTAGTGAATTCACCATTTAAGCACATAGGTATGTGACATAGAAATACCTACCACTGCATACTTAGCCTTTAATTCACCAGCTGACAAACCAACCAATTCCGCACATTCACGATCCCACATCAGCATAGGAGCATCCCCCGTATGATCAGCAACACGGACAATAAGCCTATACCTCACAACTCCCTCATGCCAAGAACTCTTACACCCAGCACAATACATCATACCACCATCAGAAGCAAGCTTTTTCTTGCAAGAATTACTCTTGCAAGAAATGTAATACCAGTCACTTAAACTCTCTACATCAACAATTATACCTACCACCCAATACTCCCCTAGCTGCAAGTAAGATTGAGTTAAATAAATAAAGTAGGAAAAAAAGGCCAGTAGAGAATACAAAAAGAAAAAAAAAAAAAAAAGAGAGATTACCTGTTTTTTGGAGTATATATCTTGAATAGAACTGACCAACACATTTTTAGGATGCGCAGCAATGCCGAAACTACCATCAGACAATCTGGTTTCAGAATCTATACACCGTAGAGGTGTATGATTACTGGTAAAGCTAATAATAGAGAACATGTAAATAAAAATTAGTAACACAATTGAGTTATTAAGCAGAACACTAAAAATAGATTAGAAAAACTAACCTGCTCCTTAACTCACGGAATTCTTTGCATGAGTGTGTGAAAAACAATTGAGTAGCATCAAATGAACTACAAATGCGCACTTCACCATCTGAAAATTAAAAGTAGTGAATAGGACATAATTTTGACTGCAAAATGACTGGTTTTGCCTATTTATTCAAAACTGTTTATTTCCAACTGTTTTGGGCATATTATAAATGACTGTTTACTTATGTATCACTGTTTATTAATGGCTGTTTACTAATGACTGCAACAGTCTCATGTGCTTGTTTTTTTTTTTTTTTTTAAATATTCAGAGCCAGTTTTCATTTAGTTTACTCATTAGTAATTACTAATAACTATTACTAATAATGTAAAATAGAGGGAAATGGATAAACCAAAAACATAGAAGAAGTAAATAGAGATATAACTCACTGTCCATGAATTTAGCTCTGCAGAGCTGAATCAACAGTATAACTGGATCCTTAGCAACTGAGTTGAAGTATGGAATTAGTTGATCCACATGCTCATCCCACAATGTACACTTAATCTGCCTCTGACTACATACCATTTTAAAACCAGCAGAAAAAGCATAAGATAGAAGTTTCAAATCAAAATTAGAGAGACAAATCAGAATTAGGATTCATACCTAGAATCTTCAAGCACAAAGTCAATTAGTCTAGCCTTCTTCCCTGCTATTAGTTTCTCCAATGGAGAATATATCTCCACAATACGACCAAGGACATCTGAATTTAGAAAAAATAGCATAGTAGTTAAATAAAACATAACATCACAATAGAGGTAATAAATCATATTGACTTTAGAATATTTTTTTTTAATATAACCTATCAAGACTTTCTCATCAATTCCCTGCTTTGAAAGTATGTCTTCAAAACTCTTGAAGCGAAACATTGTTTTGGGGAAATTCACACGCTTATATTCCTTCACAAGTGTATCATGTTTGATCTTCATCATGTAACGATGAGGGCTTGTTTTATACTTGAAGAAGTTAGTGATGCATAGGAAGTTTCTAATGCCATACACTTTACCCTCCTTGAATATGTTCTTATATTTTGCCACAACATCCTTAGGTATATGGACATGGATGAACAGGCCCTGTATTTAGAACAAAAGTGGTAAACAACAAAGTTAGATATTAAAAATATAAGAGGTGCCAAACATAAGAATAAGAATTCAAACAATGGTAGATATCTATATATATAATTGACAAACCTCTTGATCATGAAATATACATTCTTGACTTCTTATTAACTTTTCACCTTTGTTTTCAATAACAACGTAAGAACGCACACAACGCAACCTTATAGCCTTTGAAGTTTGCTGAGGATGAAGCTGACTCCCCACAATAAACTGGCCAGACATGATGACACTGCAAGGCAGAAAACAGAGCATTAAACAGGATCTTTGACAGCTTAGATTTCTATTTGAATTGCATAAGGGATCAGCAATCTCAACCTTGTAATTTATCACACTTAGCTTTGTTTTTGCAATGAAGCTCAACACTCACAATAAGCATGTATTTATAGCCGAGGAAGTGAGCGTGAGCAATGTATAAATAATAATAGAGTGCATGTACTTGTAAGCAATCCCATACCATCCACACTACTTCTACACGCAACCCAATCTGACTACAACACTCAATATGTAGTAGATAATAGCCCACTACTCTAAATTGTAGGAGTAAGATCACAACTATCTTATCACAATCTAAATAGGCGGGAGAAACAAAATTTTTGAAATCAGACTTTATTATAAGCTAAAGGAAAACGACGCCGTAGAATATTGTGGCTGAAAAATGTTTTTGATATTTTTTTTTTGATAAGAAGCGGCTTCCTTTATATGTATATAGATTGCACAATGTAGAAAAAAATTGATACTCTAAAGAAATCAGTTTCTTGAATTGTTAATAGTCTGTTTTCAGTGATTTGGTTAATAATCTTTTTATTTATTTATTCTTTATACTAATCTGTTTTTTTTTTTTTGAAAACCGTAATATGTTTATTTATTATACTAACTAATTGTATACTAAATAATCTATTTTCTGTTTTAATAAATTAATTTAATCTGTTTTTTTTTTTTTTTTTTTTTTTTTTTTTTTTTTTTTTTTTTTGTAATAATCTATTTACTCTACTCTGAATAGTCACATACAAAATGTTAGCCAGAAAGAAGCAACTAATAAAATTTTTGTCTAAATTTCACCAATTGTAAATTTGTACATGACTACTTATGTAATTTTAAGCTATTATAGAAATCTATTCTAGGCAGAAACTCAACAATATTTTGAATACTCAATTCAAAATTGAAATAGTCATGTTAAGTGACTACCACATCAGATTTGTACTTTGTTTCAAAGTGAAAAACTGAAAGGCAATTAGTTATACAATTGCCTAACTGAAAGGCAGGGATATGGGATGGACTACCATATCAATGTCGGATCACTTATACAACTAACCAATTAAAATCAAGAAAACAAAATTATGAAATTACAGATTACATTTAGGCAATTTGTTACTTACCATTCAGCTCTCTTCTTCATATGAGCTCCAAGGTTGCACCAACTATGGATCTAATGCCAAAACGGCGTAGTATAGTTTGAGCGGGAAAATGAAGCCATTTCATTGGCCGAAATCTTTTCGCTTTAATATATAGGAAGATATATACTCCGTAATTTATTAAATGAAAGACACATAATATGTTAATTGTAGAGATGTAGTTTTTAGACTAGCGTTCGTTCAAGATGTAATGTGGAGCTAGTCCATGATATAACAATTACTACTTTTGAGTGGAATTAAATATAATTGGTTCACCAATATTATATGGTCTAATGGTATGCGGGTTGAATTTTCATTTGGAAGGTTGTGAGTTCAAGTTTCGGTGAAGGTGTTATTAGCTGTTTGTGTTTTAGTAGGTGAATAGAGTCAGTAGCATTCAAAAAATATGATTTGTTCAAGTGAAATTATTGATACATTTTAAAAATTCAAATATGATTTACCACTCACAACGATATGAAATTTTTGCATTCAAACCGAAATGAATGGAAATGAGTACCTACGAGTGGTGATGAACAAAGAACAGCAAAGCTAATGATGATAGGGCAACTAAACCATTGAGCTAAGTCCATTATTTTCCTTATCTAGTTCATGTTTTAGTTGCTTATCTAGTTCATGTTTTAGCTGCTGGCTTGTCTACTTTTTTTTTTTGTTGGGTATGCTCAGAGTTTTCACCACGAACATAGTGATTAATTTCCTCGCTAAATTGTAGACACCTCTTTTGGGTGGGACAAATAGCCAAATAGTCTGAAGATTTAAGGTTGCTTCATTCCCAAAGTCAAGGATCGAACCCTTGACCTTTGGTTAAGGAGGGATATATGATGACAGTATCATGTTAATACTATTGCATTTTTTTGGTGAGACTAATCAGGAAACCTCCGATCATTATTAAAGGATACGCTAAGTTAACATCACTCTTATGTAATAAATTGCAAAAACACACATAAAAAATAAATTGCACTCAGGATCGTTCCATTATAAATAAGGGTCATATCTAATAATTTAATTTGGACCTTCATCGTTTTTGTTTCGAGATGCAATATAAATATAATAGAATAAAATGAAAAAGACAAAAATAATAGTAGAGAGATGTACAAGAACATAGGGGGAGGTTTTTTTTTTTTTTTTTTTTTTTTTTTTTTTTTTTTTTTATTTAAGATTTCGCTATAATGATACATAGAAATAGAAATAGAAATT